GAGGCCGCGGCCCGGCCGGGGGGAGAGGGAGGGAGCGCGGGAGGCGCCGCCCCGGCCGCGGAGCTGCCCGCGAGGAGCCGCCGGGGGAGGGGGGTCCCCTCCCGCCCTAAGGCAGAGCCCCCATGTAGGTGAGGGCGATGGGCAGCGTTTGCCTCTTCCCCCGGAAAAAATCCCGGCTTTCTCTCTTTTTTTATTATCTTCCGCTGCTCAGTCAGCTTTGTATTTTGCTTGTATATAAAAGTAAAGCTAAAAGCTCCAGCGGGGCCGCTGCCTTTTCTGAAATTAAACACAAGCTGCCCCCGTTGGCGTGGGGGAAGCTTCTAGGCCACGGCGCCTGGGGAAGCCTGGAGTCCACGGGACGAGGGGCTGAATTAGGGGCAATGGGTGCCAGACGCGGGGCCGACTCCTCTGCTCCTCCCGAGGGGCCGAAGCTTCCCCAGGCTCTGGCCTCCGCGCGCGCAGGTTTGCTGGAAGCCCTGAAGTCTTGTAGTCATCCTCGGGCTGCTGTGCCAAGAGTCCCTGCATTGGCTTCCGTGTCTTTCCTTGTGCAGCGGCTTGAAATTGGTGCAGAAGTGTAAGGGCTTGCTAGGCTCTTCCTAAAGCTGGGGGGAGTCCAAAATATTTGAGGGAGGTCTTAAGCGCTACGAGGTGTGTACAGATTGAAATCTTTGTGCAAAAGGTAGCATAAACCTCGGTTTAAAATTGAGGCTGGGCTTGGGGAATAAAAATGCTGAAGCACAGGTACTGTTGCAAGTGCCTCCCCTGCAAGTTTCGGGTCCCTGTGGAAGTAGGGGAGGGCAAAAGGCTCTGAATGAATCTTGTGACTTTATATAAGGACTTGGAGGAAGATGACCACAGATGAGTAAGTTAGTGTCACGTGGAAGAAGTACGAAAATTGTAAAATTCCCATGCTGGTTTTGTTTTAGCTCAAGTCCTCAGGCTGCTGCAGGCTTTAGGGTCTCAGGCACTTGGACAGCGTATCCACTGGGGTGAAAACACCAGCCTGAGAAATTCCCAGTCTCTTCCGTCTTAATCCTAGCCACCTATTCCTGTCTTCACACTCAGGCTGCTGTTCCTCGGTCCCATTACAGCTGTGGGGCTGTAAATGGGATCACTGAAATCATCTGGGTTAAAAATAACGCTCTGGGGGAAGGGAGTACTGGCTTTTAAAGTCAGTATTGCCACTGAGGAAAAAGTATTACTGAACAACAGCATTGGAAATTTAGCTTAAATCCAGGATTTTGAGGCCCCTTGTAGAGATGGTGCTTGGTTTGCATATTTTAGCCTCGTTGAGGTATTTTTTTAATACTGTTTGCAGGTCAGGGGATTGCTCAATGAATTCCTGGAGCAGCAGATACCACCTGGCAACACAGAGTGTGGGACTTCTCTGCACTTGTGGGCATGTGTTAAAAGGAGTGATCTGTAGGTTTAAAGGTTGTCAAAAACTTTGTTTGCACTGTAACGAGCACAGTGCTTTCACATGGAGAGAGATTTAAAAACATCTAGAACACATA